ATAATCTGTTGTGGGAGCTGTCCTGTGCGTTATTGTATGATGTTAGCTCCCTGGCCTCTACCCAGGGCATGCCAGTAGTATATCGTCCCCACCTCTCACTTGTGACAACTAAAAACGCCTGCAGTCATTACTGAATGTCACCTGGGGAGCAGACTGCCCCTGGTAAAGAACCACTGCACTAGACCCTAAGCTTCATGAGAACTGGAAGCTTGTCTGGTTTTGTTTACTACTATATTCCCAAACCCTAGAACAGGAGATGTGCAGATATTTCTTAAATGAATACATTTGGTGATGCTTAATTTTTATTTTTTCCCTCTTGCAGCACCGAGCTCCTGTGCAGGCATTAAACTTATATACCGAATTATTAAACAACAGACTCCATGGTAAGTATGTTTGCAAACTCCCCTCCCTCCTTTTTTTTTTTTCTTTCCTTCTCTAGAGTGTAAAATCTTTGGGTCTTACCTCAGTCATTCGCTCACTTTTTTAGTCTTTTCCTGTGGTATTGGTGATTGAAGCAGGAGTAGAGAACCAGGAAAGAGTAGTTTTCTAGGTTTGTGGATGCGTTGGGATGAGTCGGGAGCCACATGCCTTAAGCGGAGTCATTTAGGGGTTAATCTTCAACCCCTTCTTGTTAAAGTAGTTTTTTTCTTTTACAGCTGACATACACACGTTCAATTCATTGATTGAAGCAACAGCAGTGATGAATGAAAAATTTGAGGAAAAATGGAATAATATGTTGGTAAGGAGGAATGCTCATTTCATCGAATTCTGATAGGCCTAAAATAGCTTTTGCTAGAAACACACGGGATGGAGACAGCCTTTACTGAGCATCTTCGTAGCAGTCACTGTGCTGGGTTCTCAGACAGTGGTTACCTGTTAGGCCCCTCCAGAACCCCATAATTAAAGTAGCTGTGACTGGTGTGAGAGGAAAGTTACTTGACTCAGAACATAACAGCTGGAATTCAGGAAGACCAGGGTTGCTTTATTCATTTATTTCTCATAATAGGTGTTTTATTAACAAAAATAATGCATCTTTATTGAAAAAATTAGGTAAATTTAATAAAATTTAAATCACTAGATTGGAGTAATTTAGGAATAGAAACATGCTTTTATGTCATACCAACTCATTTAAGAAAGGAAAACGCACAATCCATTCTCATCTACTCTTTGGCTCTAGTCTAAGACTCACTAGGCAGAGGGCTGCAAACAGTTGGACACCTTTGCCAGGTTGGGGTGGGGTGACTGAATGGAAGGGCTTCTCTAAAAGCCAAAGTCACTGGTCCTGCTAATTAACAGATAATTCTGCAATTAGGGATATATTAACTGCTTTAGATATATAGCCAGGTAGCCAAGTTCTCTTTTAGTATATAATAGTCACTTATTGAACAAATTGCCTACTGTTGACTGAAAAATATCAACTGGATGTTTCATTACCAAAAAGGATTTATTTGGGAAAAGGGTGCAATCCAGTGTGTACAGATATTGTACGCCACGTGCACACTCTCGCCTGCATGTCAAGATGGAGGCATATTACAGAAGGGAAAAGGAAATCAGCGGGAGTTAGAAACACGAGTTGTTTCCTCGGAGGGTTCTCGCCATTACATCAAGTGCGAGAACGTCCATAAGCCCTAGCTCCTCCCATAGACCCTCCCAACAGATGATGTTTGCTTAAAGTTCCAGTTAGTTTCTGTCACCACCCAGGCATAAACAATACTGCCTACTTGTGATTCACCTAGGAACTGCTGAAACAAATTGTTGCACAGAAGTTGAAACCAAATCTACAGACTTTTAATACCATCCTGAAATGTCTCCGAAGATTTTATGCATTTGGGAAACTGCCAGCCTTACAGACCTTACGTGAAATGAAAGCCATCGGAATAGGTGAGGATGTGTCCTAGTGTCCCTCAGTGACGAGCAAGACAGTGCTGAGCAGAAGGTTCAGGTCCAGACAAGCAAAGAGACCGTACACTCTTCTGCTGTTCATATGTATCGGGAATTTCCTTTCTACCATTTGGCACCTGGAATCACATGCATTTACCCGGATGGGAGTGCCTTTACCATCTGCATGTTCCTTATAGCAAATTACAATGTTGTTTTCGTATTTTAGGTACTTCTTGATGCATCTTTTGATTATGGGGAGCATTGTTCACTTATAGTTAGTTTTAAATCCCATGACATTTTCTAGCGTAATTAGGTATTTGAACCGAAATGTATGCTAATGGGTTGTATATTTTTCAGTAATTACTTTATTGAAGGTTATTTTGGGAATCAGTTTACTTTGCTATGGTTGGGTGTTCTTAAATGAAGGCTCATAGTACATCGGCTATAACGTTTAGCAATGGGTGTCTGGACTTTCTAAAAGTGATTCAGTCTTTCTGACACCTTTACATTAATCACATGAGCTAGGAAATGTCTGTCCAAAGGACTAGAAGTGTATCATCTTTTATTTAAATATACGAACATCAATATGTTTTTAGCTCAGTGTGCCTTGGGAAGCTATATTTTGGATAGCTGTGTTTGACTTATATTTCTTATTTTTTTTCTATGCACCTGGTAATTTGAGAACCCTCACTTGCAACATATCACTATATTATTCAGCTGTTTTATCATTATGGTATGTATGACATTATATTAATTTATGTAGAAAATTGACCCAGCACCCTTAAGTTTATATGGTTAATTGTTGTAAGCCACCTTCACTGCATATGAATTAAGAGTAGAGAATTCACAAATCAATCTACATTCTGAGCAAAAATTTATTCTTGAGTGTAGTAACCTTGTTTGTGATGTAAAACTTGGGCTGGAGGGGAGGGGCTCATTAAGTGTATTCACAATGTTGGTGTACAATTAGAAATGATCAGAGGTACTTTAGCTGGGAATTTCTTTTGCTCTACAGAGCTGTGCTAATGCGATAGCCACTACCACGTGTGGCTATTTAATTAAAATTAAGTAAAATTTAAAATTGTATCATTATATTAGTGCTCAGTAGCCACATGTGGCTGCTGGGCACTATGAGGTATGACCAAAACATACGGTGAATGTTTAAAAAAAAATTA